ATATATATATATATATATATATATATATATATATATGTATGTATGTGTGTGTGTATGTGTATATAATAATTAAACTTTTAAAAAAAAATTGATTCATTATTAAGGAGTATTCTTTATCACATAAAAGAATTAATCTCCTTTAAAAATTTGACAGACATCAAATAAATAAACATCTTTTCCGAATCTATATTTTATACATATAATAATTTAAACATATATATTTTTTTATTATAATATAATTTTTATTTTTTAGATAAAAAATGTGTGTCAAATAGTAGTGAGAGCAAGTGTCCCATTCTTTACTATGTGGATCCGTCCCTGATCCATCCTTATATATTTATATATAATCATAAATTATAATCAACTTTTACTTTGGGAACGTTTTTACAAATTTTTCTTCGACTAGAATTTTTAATAATTGTTTTAACTTCTTATTTAATTTAATTTTTATTTATCCTAATTATTTATAAATATAATTTTAATATTTAAAATACTATTTTAATTATATTAAAATTAATATTGTATATAATTTAAATAGTAAAATTTTGACTCTCACTATCACTCACACTCAAGGTTGGTTTTGTTTTTTTTTTTATCAAAGGTACATTTTACATACTAATTTTTATTTCTTAAAATGAGGAAATTTAAAATTTGATATGCTTAAAAATTTAATTATTTTGATTGGATAATTTAATTTAAATTTCTTAAATTTTGAATACTTAATTTTCACCATATATAATTTTTTTTAACATATGTTTAAAAATATGAAATTTTAATATGAAATTTAATTGAAAATAAACATTAGAAATAATTCAAAAATTTTAACAATAGATAATAATTAACAATTTAAAAATTATTTGAATATTTAATAATTAAAAAAATCAAAAATTGATTAAATATACATAAATGACTAAATTACGCCTTTGATCCCTCTATTTATTTTTAAGATTCAATTTGGTCTCACTATTTTTAAATAGTTCAATTAGGTCCTTTAATTTTTTAAAAATGTTCAATATTATTCTTTCATTGAAATTGACATTAACAATATTAATATTTCAATGATATGATAACATTGAACATCGTTTAAAAATTTTAGATGGTCAAATTAAATTATTTAAAATAATCGGTATTCAATTTGATCTCACTATTTTCAAAATGTTCATTTTAGTCCTCTAATTTTCACCTAATTTCATTAATGTCAATTTACACGAAAAGGTAACATTAAACATGTTTTAAAAATTTAAGGACCAAATTGAACCTTTCAAAAACAATGAGAAAAAATTGAATCCTAAAATTAAATAAAGGGATTAAAAATATAATTTAACCTATATAAATATTGATAGATAGAAAGATGATATGAGAAAAAATAAAGAAAAAGAAGAGATAAATAAGATATATGAAGAGAAGAGAGAAACAAGAATAAAAGATGAAGGAGAAAAAAAAATAGAACAATAAAAATGTCATGTAAAATCATTGTTAGATGAGTGAATTGTATATAAATTCTAATAAAAAGCCTCACAAAATTCATCTTCAAAATAATTCATTAAAATCTCAGTTTTTGAATACTAATGGACTTTTTTAAGTGAAAGAGACCTCACCCTCTTCACCAATAGATTAAAGGATTGATGATTTTTATCCATGGTTGAAAACGTGATGGAAATCTATTTACAGGAATATTGAGTAAAGGTATTTTGTGGCACATTAGGCAACACAACTATACAAAAGAAAGAGGAAAAAGAATGAAGGCATAAAGAATAGAAGTAAACCAATGAATTGTAAGCTATGACACTTTAACTCCACTAGGGCGTTTTCCTTCCATAGCATCCTTCTTGTTGCGACAATCAGCACACAGAAAAGGACCTTGCCATGGCTTTGAGCTGGTGGAGAAAATGGAACCTGCGTGGACCGAAATGCCCTCGCTTGAAGCAAGGTCAACCTGGCACACGGCACAGACGAAAATGCCAGATGTTGATTGACCTGAGTTTTCATCGTTTCCTAATCTGCAAGACATACAAAGTATTGAACATTTATGAACAAAAATGTTTTAAAAATGTATTTCCAAAGTATATATAAACCCTTGCATTTTAAATTGGATCATATAATGTGTCTTTCTACAACCACATCCCTATATCTTTCAGAAAGTGCTATGGCAAACATTGAATAAATTACATATAAATTAGCTCCAATGCTGACAGAATAAATCATTGAATTTGAATACCATCCTCAGACGCACACATCGCCATAGAAAAAAACTAAATAATAACTTTAACCACAACTTTTAAAGACAGAAGTCCTGTGGAGACAAAAATGGAGGTCTGATAAAGAAAACATTATGCGGGGCACTGTCATGAGAGTTTTAAAAATTTGTAAAATGAAAAAAGATTTTCCAATAAAAGATAATAAGATTACCTTTCCGCGAGCATTGCTGATCCTTCTTCAAATAGTTCCTCCACTATATTTATAGCTGAAAGCTTTTTTGACAGCTTACCAGCCGAGTTGCGAGACCTCTTCCAAAACAAAAGAGCACTCAACTTGTTCCGCTTTTTGGGGGGAGGCAGTGGCAGTGGCAATTCATTATCAGGTGGAATTATATCAACTACAACACAAGTTGTATCATCCTTTAACCCTCTTGTTCTAAGTGCTTCCTGAAAAACAGTAGGATCTTATAACACAGAATTATGCAGAGAAATTTCAAACATGTAAATATTTTCAATGTCAAATGATAAGCAGATAGCTGTAACCTGTAAGGCATATTACCTTTACAACCTGCTTCGCAGCCAGTTCAGCAGGCAAACCATGACAAGATTTTGCTGCCATTTCAGATGATAGAGCATCCCAGATACCATCAGAGGCAATTATAAGTCTCCCACCAGCCTTTGATAGCTATATCAATAAAAGAATGTCAGGTTTTATCCGGAAGACAAAATAACAGTATCCATAGGTGTAAAATCAAAAAGAATAAAACATCAATTTAGTCCTTGAAGTATCAGCCCTTCACCTAAATAGTCATTAAACTAATAAAATTATATAAGAAGTACCTAAAGTATTGATTATACATTAATGTAGTCCCTGTATTGATATATTGAGGGACTAATTTAAAGAATTTTTCAATTCTTGAGGGTCTATGTAGCAAGATTTTTAATAATTTAGGGACTAGTTATATAATTTCAGTAGGGGAGCCAGTGATACATCAGGGACCAACTTGATGGTTTATTAGAAGAGATTATCTGAAAAGTGCAAAGAAAATATACCTTTACTTGTTTGACATATGGTACTGGAACTATAAACTCCCCAACATCCATGTCTCCTATTGACCTAGAAAGGCATAGACCCCCAGGCCAGCAACGAAGTGGACCAATCTGCATAGATTCAGCAACATACATCTAAAATAATAAGGATAGGCTAAACCATATACCCTTAGATCACATGTTGAAAAGGGAAAAGAAGAAACCAAATAAAGCTATTCCTCTCTCCCATTTTAAGATGACAGGTGATATTGCAACCTAATATGCTTACCTCAACACCACCAACAATGCTAAGTCTTCCAACTTCCCCTCCACTTGCAGTAACACGTTCCCTCCTGTAACACAGAAACTTGTTACCATATGCATATAGGGAAAATTAACGAACTTTCCTCAAATGCAAAAACTTACTCTTCAATATTCTCCTCAAGTCTGTGATCAACAGTTAAGTTGGTAACAGCACCACCCTGCACATCTAGTATACAACGGGAATCTCCGACAGAAGCAACTGTTACAGTCCACCTATCCACTATCACAAACGTGGCCGTGGTTCCAGAAGTTTCTCCTGGAGATAACAGATAAATCACAACACAATATCAATTAGAATAATGGAAAAATTCCCAATTCCCCTGTTCTGTATCTTTTTTCATAAGAACAAATTTCTGTTCAGCTAGAACAAAATAGAATAATGACTAATTTCCAGACCTCTTCTCTGAAATTCCTTGTCAGTCTTCACAAATCCCGCAACCAATGCCCGAGGTAAAGCTTGTAGCCACTCGTCTCTTCCAAGCCCTCGAGGGAGAGCACCCAACACATGATTTAACAAATGCTCCCGAGTAAAAATGGCTGCAGCATTTCCATTGTGCCCATCAAAGATCTGTAAAACTTGAAAAAGTAAGTGACTATCTCAGAGGACCATGTTCTTTTCTATCCAAAGACCATTGAGTTCATCAAACAATCCAGGATTACAATCAGCAAAGCTATTGGAAGATGAAGCAAATTATCAATCAAAACAGCAATCTCCAAACAGCCAGTTACTGGTGTCATGCAGCTCAAAAGGAACAAACAAAATCTTATATATGAAGCACTGGCTCCAACACGAACACTGAACACGACACGAACACTGGACACAACACAGACACAGACACACGACTAATGTCCAAAATGTAGACACCAGAACACAGCATACATACATATACATGTATGTATGCTTTACATATATATATATATATATATAAAAGCTTTACATTTTTATATGATAATGATTCTTAGAAGTTGAATCATATCTCTTAAAAGCTAAAACAAACAGTATTACTTATAAAAATGAGCTTTAAGACAGATAAAAATGTTATTAGCCTTGCAATATGTATAAATAAGTTAACTTTTTAATTTATTTTATAAGCTAAAAATAAATGTTGACTCACTCTCTAAGCTAGTATCCAAATCGTGTCAAAATGATGTTAAAGCTGTGTGGGGGAGGTGTTCGAACTATAAAAATAATATTTTTTTAATAGTGATACAGTGGATAATCGTCAGAAGCGTGTGTCAAGGCTTATTTATTTGACTAGTGTTGTGCTCAAAATGTGTCAAACACGTCAACACAGCGTTTGGTAGATGTATTTGTGCTTCATATAATCTAATATAGGAAAGGTAGAAAATACCGCGAATACAGAAAATGATGCTGAAGAATTCCCAGGAACTCGCCGACAATCAGTCTTGATTAGGAAGTAATCCTCCCCTTTTTTAGATTGAGCAGCATATCCATACCGCATAGTGGGCTTCTCCATCTTCTCGTTCTTCATCTCTCTGGTGAGCAATGCGGCAAGAGGCACAAGATCATGACCACGACGCCTCCCTTCTCCAGAGGCCATATCTGGCCCCACCTACCTCCTTTATCTAAGACCCAATCTTTCTCAAAATAACAAAGCTCTCTTGCTCACAAGGACATCAGAACTCAAAAGTCCAAAGATGAAACACTGTAACAGGCACCCAGATAAACACAGAAGCACTCCTTCCGCACACTAAACACAAATTGGCACACAAGAAAAACGCCTTTGTCCCAAATTGATCTGCATTCATCACCAACAAAGTTGTTAAACCAGGATCTAACAAGTAACAACTTCCTTAACTCCCAACAATAACTAGATAACTCAGAAGAGCAATATCCCAACTTTTCACAAAGCATTATGCTATTTGTACAATGCAATTTGTATAACCCAGTTTAGCCCCTAGTGAACCCCGTGAACCATGAACTTCAATAGTTTTTTTAGAAAGAGTTTAAAGAAAAAGGAAGAAACTTGAAGCCAAGTACAGAAAGAACATAAATTCCAAGCAGGAAAGAAACAAAGTAATTGAATTACCAGAGAGAATGTCTGGATGTGCACCCCACGAGAAACCAGATGCAGATCTGACTGTGACACCAAACAAACATGCAGAAAATAAGGTAAGATATCAACTTGGATACAAAACGCGTATTGATAACAGGGTATGAACTGTAAAAGTAAAACCCATTAATCTAAAACCACAATCTTCCAATAAAATATAAAACAATTTCTATACTAAACTCTAAAAACTAAAAATACACAAAGGGCTTTAAAATTTAATATGGGGCCAACCCATGTCAGCTTCAAACAGTTTCTTCCACCAAACAGAACTTTTAAAAAAAAATTAATCATAAAACCTCCTTTACTAAACCATAAAAGGGAATAACAGTAGAGCAATTGCCTCCATACTTTGAAGGAAGAAAGTGGCTTTTGCTGAATGCTGACTAAACAGCTTTGCCTCCAGAAAGATACCCACATTCTGATTCAGGTAAAAGTTGTAAACTTTAAACTCTTTTTTTCTTTCCCTGTGTTTCCTTATCCATGAGGAAACCGGCCCACACTATATTTATTTTTTAACATATATTTTTAGTTTTTAAATGAGTGAATTTTTTTATTTTAATTATGTTTAAAAATTATTTTTTTATTATTTTTTTTAAAATATATAAATTATAATTTTAGTATGTTTGATTCAAAATTTTAATTTTTCTATTTTAAAATATTTAGAGACATTTAGTCTCTTATTTTTAAAGTTACGAAATTTTGATTAAATATTAACGTTTTTTTATTTATTTATCAATTTATCACTATTTAAATAATGTAAAGTTTAATAACTGTAAAAATAAAAATTTAAAGTAACATATAAAATATTCACATTTATATATTTTAATGAATGATTAATGTTTATTTTATTAATAAATTTTATTTATATTTTTAAATTTTATAATTTTTAACTGCGATGTTATTAATTATTTAATATATAAATGTTAAAACTGATTAACAAATGTTAGTTTAATAAAAGAAAATTAAAATTATGTATTATTAAAATTAAATAAATTAAATATTATTTCTATTTTAAAATTAAAAATCAAAATTACATATCGTGAGAGAAAAAGAATACTATTTACAAATCCTTAAATTTGTTAAAAAAATATTATTTATTTATTTTAAAATATCATTAAATATATATTTAAGTTTTTTCATTTCTTTACTTTTCAAAAAAATCTTAACGTACAGAAAATTCAGTAAGCCACTAAAGTCCCGTAGTGCAGCCGTGCAGGAGCTAAAACCTAAATAATTCTAATGAGTAAAAAAAGTATTGTGGAGTGAGAAAATTAACACCGCCAAGAGCTAGAAATGAAAAAAAATAAATAAATAAAAAATAAGTGACATAAACAATTTCCATAAAAATTAAGGAATTCAATATAATTTTGAAATTATTAAAAATTATTTTTTTTATAGAATTAAATGTGGTGTGTGCATGGTTAAATTAATGTAAATCATTTATTTATATTTAATTATTAGTATGATTTTTCGTGTGATGTACGGATTATTAATTTAAAATATTTTATATAATAATATAATAAAATAAATAATTTTATTAGTTTTATGTTTTAAAGTATATTTTATTTATATTTTAAAATTGTTATTATGTTTATTTTATGATAATAGAAAAGGTTGATTATGTAGTATTTATATAAAAAATTGTTCAAATGGTTCATGATTTATGTTTCTTAGTCAAGGATTAAAATTTGATCCTAACTTAAAAATGAAGTTGTGGGGATGATTCGATATAAAAGAATTGATTTTTTTTTCTTGATTAATTATCTTTTAATGTTTTTTCTTGATTGGAGATGTAAAATTGTGATTTTGTCTCATTCTTGACTTAAAAATGTTAGTAATTTATATTCGTTGAAATTATCATTGATTTAGTAGCTTTTTGGGACTTTTCTTTGACGGGAGAGGTTGTAGAGATTTTTATAACCTCTTATTTAATTTAATTTTTATTTATCATAATTATTTATTAATTATTAATAATTTAAAATAAAGTATCATTAATAAAAATATTTTTTTACAATACAATTATTTAAATAAATCTAAAATATATTTTATATGTTTAAATTTAAATATAATTTATATATTCAAATATAATATTTTCTATATATAATTTATTATAAATTTTAATTTTATTATATATAATAAACATGTATGTGTATTACACAAGTTAAAATACTAGTTAAGCTTTATAAATTTAATATACTTAAATTGAAAGAAAAAAACACATAAAATTACATAGTTGAGATATTATACCATGTGAATTTCAAAGAATACACTACAAGAAAAATAATTTTTGACGAAATTTTTTGACAGAAACAGGTAAATTTCTGACGGATTTTTTTTTTCGATGGAATTCCGATGGATTTCAATCTGTCAGAAAAGGTGGCATTAGAAGAAAAAAAATTCTTCGAAAATAATTTAATCCGTCAGAAATTTTTGACAAAAAATTCCGTCGAAAATTTTCGGCAGAAATTTCCGTCGAAAATTTCCATCAGAAATTTCACGATATTTCAATTCTCATATTTGGCCTCTCAATGATTCTATTTCACGATATTTCACTGTTTAGCGTGTTTTATCCTTACTTGTGCAATTTCTGATACTGTACTACTTCAAGTCAAGTACGCTTAACTGTGAAGTTTTGATGAGTAAGCTACCGAAATGTATATGTATGTTGTCAGTATAACTTGTACAAATTAATTCATTTAAGTCATCCTCAAATATACAATCTCATAGTTGTACTATAATAATAATATATAATAATTTTATATTACCAATAATAATAATAATAATAATAATATATTTAATTATTATTTATTTATATATACTTACTTTTATAATTAACATCTACTTATTTCTATTTAAAATTATAATTTAAATTATTTAATTTTATAATTTATAATGATAATATAATTTATAAAATTATAAATATTTATTTATTACATACTTATAAATTAAATTTTAATATTTTAAATAAATTATTAATTAATTTAATATATTTATTTACCTTAAATCAAACATATAAAATT